CTAATGACCGCATGAGATTAGTGTGTAGTATGATTTATAGCACTGTTTCTTGTGCTACAAGGACAAGAATGTCATAAATCATTTTGCACAGGTATTGGTTTAGAATTATACTGGATCGATCTATGAGAATACTTTAAGCGATTTAACAACCTTCATAAGTATATTACTCATTATGGCTATCGGAACCTCTTTCCTCAACCATGAGTATTGTTAGTTCTCTTGTTTGAGTACTAGTTCACTTTGATGTTGTCAAACGTCTACCATACAAGGGAATTATAAAGGCAACACTCGAACGGCTAGGGACTCTTAGTAAGGGAAGCTAACAATGCAAGACTGGGAATGTCCTCCTATTAACAATAGGGAACATGACTTTGTTGTTTACAAGGCCTCTCGAAGAGCAAGAATGTGAAAATGCATGGCCGTACTCAGATGGATTTTAGAAATCATCTGCTTATTGATAGTCGAAATTGGAAGTCGAGAAACACATATGGACATTATAAGGATGATGAAGAATCTTACCTTATAGTTCATAAAGAGGCATTAAGTGACATAGGAAATAGGCTATTCACAAACAGGTCTGGAAGGACATGTGGGAGATTGAAAGGAATGGTGTCCTTCGAACAAGTGTATTATTCCGATAAAGGGTTCGGAATTAATTAGGAAAGCTAATTATTCAATACGGTCAAGTGATCGGAATACCTAGCTAGAGGCCGCTTCCAATCAGTAATATTAATGTATCATTAATATTACAGCTTGCTCTTGACTGAACCTTTCGGGTCACACCTAATCGTGTAATTGAACCAAAGCGACGAATTAATCCGAAGGATTAAATGAATAAATAGAGATTTTACGAACTAAGACGTCGGATTCCGAGCTTAGAGTGTCGAAGCCGAGTGCTGAAAGTCGAGTCATATAAACGACAAGACGGAAAAATCAGTCAAACAACAAGTCAACACATGTAAAAATCCTAGCCTCGTAATGGCCTATCATGGCTAGCCAAAGCCCTTACTGCAAGGCAAGGCTTGGCCGCAAGCCCAGCGTGCATTGCATGCATGGCTGGGTGTGCTAGCCGAGCAAGCCTTATGGGCAAGGCAAGGCCAGCAGGCCAAGCACGCAGCATGGCGCGCCAGCAAGGCCAGCAGCCGAGCAAGGCTTGCTGGGGCCTCACTCGCTTGGCCACGCGCCAATGAGGGTTGGCTGGCAGGCCCAACCGAGCACCAGGCCGCTAGCAAGGCGCACCTTGGTGCCCAAGGCTAAGGGCCAGCTGGCGCCACATGGTTGGTGCCGGCATTATGCTTGGGGAGCAAGGGAAGGTGGTCCTTCCCTTTGTGGTCCTCACCTACTCCCTTGCTCTCATTGTGCCACTTGTTATTTGATGATTGTTTTGCCATTTTAATTTAATTTAGAAGTAAATTAATTCTTTTTTTTAACAATTTACCAACTATCCCACATTGAAAGATGATAGGAATCCTTAAGAACAATTCCTTATAAATACCAATCATTGGGTATTGGGATTTTCGTTTGAGTTAGTGAACTCTAAGGGATCTCCTAAATCGAGAAAACCTTAGTTCGTAAACTCTAAGTGATGTTGGTTTAGCCCCGTCTAAGCTACGGGGTAAGGGCCGGTTCCGGTTTGGTGAGCGACGGTGCGAGCCGTCGGAGGTTTCGCACTCGTTGAGTGAGTGAAGCACGCGTCTTGGGTGAGTTTCTTTCTCTCTCTTCTCTTTATGTGTTTGTGTTTTTCTTATTTGCATGCTTTTTTTTTTATGTTGTAATTATTATGCATGCGATCCGGTTTTCAGGTTTTGTTTCCACGCAGTGTCGGACACTGTAAAACCCAACAAGACTTTGGGTCTGAAAACTCCTATGTTGATTACTCTCTGTTTAGCTAGGTACAGGGTAGTGTTTCATTGCATGTTCTTGTCTTTGTCGATGATCTTATTATTGCAGGGTCCTCTCATGATGTCATTATTCAGTTTAAAGCTTATTTGTGCAAATGCTTTTATATGAAGGATTTGGGTGTGCTTAAGTACTTCTTTGGCATCAAGGTTGTGCATAGTTCAGAGTGTATTTTTATTTCTCAAAGAAAGTACTCTTTGGATATCTTGACTAAAGCAGGTATGTTGGGTTGCATACCTATTGATACTCCAATGGAGCATAATCATTGTCTTGCACATGCTTCGCGTGAGCCGTTTGTTCATCCGAATCAGTATCGTTAATTGGTTGGACGATTGGTGTAGTTGTTGGTCATTTGCTTGGAGTTGAGTTATTAGGTGCATGTTTTGGCATAGTTCTTGAGTGATCCACAAGTTTCTCATTGGGATGCGACTCTTCGTGTCTTGCGCTACCTTAAGGGTAGTTCGGGGCAATGCATCTTGTTACGACCTATGAAAGACATGCGGTTGACGGTTTTTTGTGATAATGATTCGGCCGTGTGTCCATTGACTAGGCGTTATTTGATATGTTATCTTGTCTTTCTAGGTCGTTCGCCTGTTTCTTGGAAGACTAAGAAACAACCTACTATATCTCGCTCTTTTACCGAAGCCGAATATTGTTCTATGGCAGTTGCTACTTGTAAATTGAAGTGGTTGAAAGCGTTGTTGCTTTCTCTTGGAGTATGTCATTCGAAGTCTATGCAATTGTTTTTTGATATTCAGTCGGCTTTGCATAATGCTAAAAACCCAGTGTTTCATACTTTTATGATCGTACGAAACATGTTGAGGTAGATTGTCATTTTGTTCGTGATGAGTTGTTGAAGGGTAATATTTCTACTTCTTATGTTTTGATGAATCATCAATTGGAAGATATTTTTATGAAGGCTCTTGGACGACAACAATTTGGGTTTTTTTTATGCAAATTGGGCATTTGTGATCTCTATGCTCTAACTTGAGGGGGAATATTAGAAGTCGGTTGGTTTATGTTAATATTGTATATTTGTCATATTCTTATTTTACAAGTTTTGGGCAAGTTAAGTCTTCTTTGAATTGTACTATATATATTGTCGTAAATATCAATACAACCCCAATCTGTTTTCTCCGATCTCTCTTGAGTTTAACATTGCCCCTGAATGATTAGGTCGAAAGATCACAGAGAGAGCTGATATGTATAGTTATGGGGTTGTGGTCTTAGAAGCGTTTGGGAGGAAGAACTTGGATTACTCTCAGCCTCAGAAAAGCACCCTTATCCAATTGGTCAAACAGAAGATTGAGGAGTGCTAGTTGTTTGATCTACTAAACGAATGCAATGAGGATATGAGGCAAAATGCTGAAGACGTTGAGAATATTATAAAAATTGCATTGTGGTGTTTACATACAAAGCCAACTCGACGTCCTATCATGTCAATGGTGGTGAAGGTATTGGAAGGACAGGAAGTTGCAATGGCTCTAGAGGCTATTAGTGACTATTCCCGTACAATTTTGAAAATAGATGGACACCCATCAATTGAGCCAGTAACCCAAATTTCCCACTCAGTTCTATCAGGACACAGATGAGGAAAGTGTTGCAACCCTGATTGATAAGTTACATTGGTCATTGTTATGAGACAAGTCAATTATTTGGCTTCATCATGGACTAAAGCAGCTGGATGGGGCTCTAAGGAGTTACTTGACTGGAGAGATTAAAGTTACTCCGTAAAATGTAATTTTGGTTTCTATTTAGAGGACTTGTACTCTTTGATTTGTACACTCGATCAATATACTTGTTTTGCTTATATAAAATGATGTGCCAAAATGAGGTTGATCAAGTAGTCCTAGTAGCTAGAATATCAAAAAAATGTAGCTTGATTCACTAAAGATTGTATACTTCCCCGTAATCTAGGAGATGTGTATCAACAAAAATAATATGGCGAAGTACAAGGGAGCGGATAATCCAAAACATTACATATTATCAAAGAGAAGAGAGCATCGGTATGGACTGTACCTAAAATAGGAGTAACCTTGGAATTTTCATGGTCGAATTTGGCCTTGTAAACCCAATTTCGAGGTTTTGTGTGGTCAAAGTAAGGTATGTATCTCTTTTTTGTTTTTTTTTTCCGACTATTTATAATATTTTATTTGTTGTTTTTTCGAATTTTTTTTGAAAATTTATGGTGGTGGTGGGTGGTGGTTGTTGGAGTTCGGGTTTGGGGGTTGGATTGGCAAGGTAGTGGTGGGCAGTGGTTGGTAGATCTGGGTTGTGGTCAGATTTTTTTCAAGTTTTTTTTTTTGGGTTACGGTGTCGTGGTGGTAGGGAACCGGTGGTCGGTCCAGTCTAGGTTGGGTGGGGTTTAAAATTGTTAGGGTTTGGGGTGGGTTAGTGATGGTTTTGGGTAGGTGGAGTTTAAATCGGGGCTGAAGGTGGGTTAGTTAATTGAGGTTTAAATCGGGGCTGGGTTAGAGGTGGTGGTTTTGCGGTGGGGGCTAGTGGTGGTGGGGGCTAGTGGTGGTGTGGGCTATTTTATTTTTATTTTTTTACAGCACTTTTCGACAGAATTTCCGTCGGAAATTTCCGAAGGAATACTTCTGGTCGGAAATTTCGACGGACTTTTCTATGCCGGAAAATCTCTTCCGATGCTTGAATTCCATCGGAAAAGTGCTTCCGACGGAATTTCCGTCAGAAAAGGGCGTTTTTCCGACAAATACTTTTATGATGACAATTTCTGAAGGAAATACATTTTCGACGGAAAATAGGGTATTTCTGATGGGAAATCGCCTGTTTTCTAGTAGTGTTCATAAATGGGTGAGAATTTGACTAACTCCATATCATGCACGTTCTTTACAAAATAATATTATGTTCTTTACAATTTAAACAATGTTCTTTACAATTTTAACAATGTTCTTTTAACTTTTTTTTTTGTTTAACGCATGGTGCACCCGGGTGTACAAATCAAGAATTAAAAGTTATATGGTAGTCATATTTCAAACGAACACTAAAAAAAAAATTAAAAAAAAAATTAAAAAAATTAAAAAAAAATTGTAAAAAAAATTCTTCGTATGTTATGCTAGTAGGACATAATCCCAAAATTATACGACTTCATTTGCATGCAAGTTTATTTTATAATAAGAAATGGAGTATTTAATTACACCTGTTCTTTTCAACTTTCACACCCATCAATCACTACTCGGATATAATTCCAACTTCCACGTAACAACACTAACAACAATTAATACAGATCATATATAGACGCACAAGTTTAATTAAAACCATAATTATGAAATAAACTGATGATGATGTTACTAACAATAATCTAATTGATAACACGACAGTTCTTTCTAATCTCTCCTTTAGTACCAGTAAGAAGCTTAATGTTCCCCATCTTGATCATCGCGGCGACAAAATCTTGAAAGAAAACAGCTTGATTAGTACTATACTTCTTCACCAAGGAATCTTGAGAGCCACCATTGTAAAGCTCTTGATCCGAATGTAATAGACCGCGTTTCTTAACAAGGTTTTGAAAATAATCGTTGTCGAATTTGGTTGGAGTTTGAAGATCAAGAGGGGCTAAGTTGAAGTCTCCATTTCCAGCTTGTTTAGGGCAGTTGGCTTGGCGTGTGGCTGCAAAGCTGGGATCGATGTCGGTGTCGTTGTAGATATGTGGTCGGAAGTTGATGCAACGAGCGAGGCCGATGGTGTGGCCGCCGGAGAGGGCGGTCATTTCATTGATGTTTAAATTTTGTCTTGCAAAGAGTGAAGTGAGGTTAGCAAGGCTTGAAGATGGGGGTGGAAGGTTTTTGTTTGCCAAGCTTAGGCTTGCTGTTCTTGCATCTCTTCTACCTAGTGGTACTTTCCATGTGGGGCCTCCTAACTACAAATGTGAGAAAACATAGTTAGGTACATATCAAGTGGTAGGATCCTAAAATAATAAATTTCGATAAGGGATTGATCAGGTTAAATTGAGGTGTTTAAAATAATAATAGTTTTGGTGGAATTAGACAATGTCCTATAGACCTACAGTTATTATATGCAACTTTATTTTTTCATTTTTAATTGTCATTAATTAGATTTGGTTTTGTAATGAAATCATATAATTTAACTTAGATAAGTGAATAATAATTTAATTATCAAACTAGTGGTTGCAGCGGGCTCCTCAAATTGTATATCACCATGCATGTTTACATACTTCGTATTTAATATATATATGTGGAAGGATGACATAATAAAAAATTAACACTTAGATTAAATGAGATGATAGTATTGTTTCAAAAAAAAAAAAAAATGAGATGATGGTAGGGTGTGCCACCTAACAAGATAAATGTTATTTGAAACGCTTTTTAATATACATTATATTATTATTATAGAGATTATAGATTTATTTACATTTTTAATTGTTACACATCCTAGCTAAAATGGTTTTTTTATAGTGAAGTTTTTCTTTTTGTTATTCAAGTGATAGGAAGTAATAGTAACAACTAATTAATCATTAGATTTAGTACTTAAAAACTTTTGATTTAGAAGTATTTTTATGATGAGTTTTATATGCTTACCAATCTAACTCCATCTCGTGACGCAAGAGCTAGAATGTCTGCACATGATACAGTTTGGGGGCAAGCAGCTTCAAGATTACACTTGATTGCATCAATCACTTCAAAACCCCTTATTGAATTGTTTGCATTTGCTTTAGCAGTTTTCTCCCCTGTAAATGTTGGTGTATCATCTAGGAGTACAGAGGCATCACAACCCTAATGTAACCGGAAATGAATGAAAAACATGCATGAGTTAGTTTAATAGAGGAACAATATAGTATATATATTAATTCGAGTCTACTCTGATCATTTATTGTAAGTAAAACAGTCATATATACTTCCTTTGTTCACAGTTACTACTCAGCCTACATTCCTTTTATATATAATTCCTTGTAACTAAATTAATCACATAATTTTACTCGGAAAAACCTTTACATACATTATGAGATAAACTTAGATCAAGGACTTGCATGTAGGTACTTCTATTATTTTGGAGTTTGACAAAAAAGATGTGATTTTTCCTAAAATAGTATGGATGATATCTAATTTTCCGTTGTGCCAATATTGAAAACAAATTAGATCGTATACGAAGTACGAAGTATATGCTTATATCAAAGTTGTTTATTATCAATTGGTTAAGGTTGTCTCTCATGATATCAATGAATGCAATCAAACCTCACTATGCAACGGGGCTTTAACCCTAGGTAAAGCAATATTTTTTTAATTGTCACGATCATCGTTAGTATTATATTTTTGGAATTCTTCATTTTCTCATTCAGTTTTTGTAGATAACATCCATCATTTTCTCTAAACCTTCTATATAATTGTCTAGGACCCATAGATGTCCAAACTTATCATCATCTCCCCAACCAATTTCTTTCTAGAGAAAAGCTACAATATTATAATCAATCATGACTACATTACGAGGAAAGAACAAAATTCTCCCTTCTTCGCATAATAATTTTTCATACGTCGAAGTATATTATATAATAATGTACTAGGACACATAGTATATATTGCAATGAAAAATAAGGTTATAGATTCGAAATTACTCACGTTGACAAAGCAGTCATGGAAGAACAAGCGAAGAATAGAAGCACCCATACGTGGTTCCTTACTAACGGCTTGCTTCATAGTATTGTACACAATTTGTTCAACATTAGGGCAACTAGAGGCATAAAAGTCTGGCTGCATAAGCCAAGCATTGGAAGTACCCAGAAAAAGTGATATGAGAGAAAAGATTACCAAAACAAATATCGATTTAGAAGCCATAATAATTGACTTGCTTCTCGCTTGCTAATTATGGCAAGGTGAAAGTAGAGATGATATATTTGTATATATTATATCCTTTGAGTTTCATATATATATATATACACACTAGACTTACTAGTAACTAATATTTAAAATAGTAGACGCCGCATGTATGCGAGTAATTAGGATTAGTTGCAAATTAAATGGGAGTAGACATTTCAAATCTAAGCCCCAGAACACGTACACCCAGCCAGTCCATTTCAGAATATCATTTCTATAATTATTACTCTTTCATTCCCTTCTTCAAACTTAAATAAAAATATTCACTTCATACTCTTGGGTACGACGTCTGTGCAGTAAAAATTATAGCATGATCAGAGATATGAATCAAGAATTTATCTTTATAAATAATCAATCTTGTGTATAGATCGTATTTTGTTTAAGCCAGGCTTACCCAAAGAAAATGATAGAGTATAATTAAAACCAATCATGGGGATTCAACCATCCTCAGTTTACGTTTTTGGCTGAGTTGATCCTTTTATATAGAATCAAAGAACCCAATCCTAAGTATAGTATAAGGAGCCCTATGTTCGTTGCAATCAACATTTCAAGTCCAAATGATCTTCTGTTAGGGAGGATGATAGAGTATAAAATCAATCATGAGATCTCTAATCATTAGCTAACCCAAAGATAAAAAGCGAAACTCAATTTATTTTCTATGTCCTTTCTGACCATTCATCTAGGTTAAGTTTGGTGATCCTTGGCTTCTTACTTCATTACTTGGATGAACAGGTCATTATGCAAATCAGAAGGTGCCTTAATTATAACTCTTGCATATATATTTGCCTTGTTTCTTTTTTAGTTGGCACATTTTTTTTATCACGTTTAACAACTTATTATAATTTCAACGACCAATATTTCTAATCATCGACTTAAAATTGTAACAAGTTGATATTATGAAAATATACCAAGACGAATCTAATAAGATCATACATGGCATACTATAATATTTTACAAAAATTATAAACCACAATAGTTAGTCAAATTAATAAAATAGATTTTATATTGAAGCGTCAAAAGTCAAAACGTGTAAACTACAAAAGAAGAGAAAATATTGAATGAGTCTGAAGTCACTAAAAGACGAATATAAGTTATTAGGCATTTTAAATAAGCTTTTGGACATCTCGACTTTTGAATTTAAACATAAGTCAATGTTTTTGATTTGGATATATCATATATGAAGTGTGCTTTTGAAAATTTTATATGAATTATTGGGTATATTAGTTTTAGAATATTATGCATGTATTGGGTGGATGGACTCACGGTGAAATGGACTCAACTAGTACTTTATGGAAAGAAAAAAAAAAAAAAAAGGAGGAAATATTAATTCTTATGTATTTCTGCACACATCCACCATTATTATAACATACGTATCTCTACCAAATTCATATTGTAGAACATGATCATTTTACCCTAACATTTCAACATGGGTACAACGCCATTTTAGATAAATTAGATCAAGTCTTTTTCAGACACTATCTCACACAAATAAATAAGACAACTTCGGATAAATTTATATAAAATAAGTTTAATTAATTTAAATAATTTCACACAAGTTCTTATATTTAGTTCATAGAAGATGAATTCATACATGCATACGACTTGAATTAAGTTGAATCAAACAATTAAAGCCTCACAGTACAGACTCTCCAAAAAAGCGGGTGTACGTTAATTTAATGTAAGACGGGCTAAAGTTATCTTAAAAGTATTTAAAGTTACCCTTTACACTACAAAAGTCATTATTTTTTTTCTAATAATAAATTCTATCTTGCAAAAAATTTATAATGTATTAAATTAATTATAGCCTTTATAGTAAATAATCATGAATCTTTAAAAAAAAAAATTAAACATTAAAATAAAATTCAAACCAACGACAAATTAAAAGCTACCCTTTAAGAAGGGGTTAAAGTTACCATGAAAATATTTGAAGTTACCCTCAAACTGAGCGTCTTACAATAAAATTAATGTACACCCGCCTTACACAAGACTTATTGAAATAACCTACTCCTTAATTGATAGTTAAAGATAGGCAAACTAGTTTTTTTTTTTTTCTTTTTTTCTTTTTTCTTTGTGTTTCCATCCGGTTGACCTTTTGGGCTAATCCGGATTTGGAGCTCAGTTGTGGTGGTTTGATTCCAATTTCCTCCCAATTGTTGTTGTAGGGGATCGAACATGCGGTCCTTCCTACTAAGGACAACCCCAATAATCACTGGACCAATAACCAATTGATAAGCTAGTTGTATACTTAAACTAATATTCGGTCTGTATTTTGCATTTGCCGACATAAGTAGAAAGTGGAATACTTGAATAGCATTAGATTGGATTATGGGAAGTGCATGCATAAGTGAAATACGAATATACCACTTTAAACTTTCGGCTTTATTAATTACACATCACTCATTTTGAATTGTCAAAGAATATAATTAATGAGATTAAACTATCAACGTTTGTAAGGACAAGTTTATCTCTATCTATTAGAACTACTTTCTTATACCCATTCTATGACGGCCTAATCAATAGTTCAAGTCAGACACTCCCATAATCCATTTTCATTTCGTAGAATTATCCTCAACTAGTTATGTTAAATAACTAAACATAAAATTTAACTAAATAAAAAAATATGAAGTTGAAGGAAAATTTCCAAATACATAGATTATTATTTTCAATAATCCATACATGTAGCAATGAAATACTATTGTTCTTCCCTCAAGTAATAAATGATTGATTACAAATATCTATGATATAAGTAAGAAGAGGCAATACAAAAGTGTGTAAACTATAAAACCGAGTCAAAGTGGATTATCCCACACTAGTACTTCCACGTAATAACTCTACCAAAGGTGATCCTGTTACAGGAATAGCATCCGGTACGCCCGTTACAATTTTGACTGCCTAATAACCAATTTGGTCCCGAGGTAAGGAATAACCAGTTACGCCAAACCCGTAACCCAAGTCAATTCAAAGTGACCTTTCTTCTTGCAAGATCAACACTCTTTTCAAGTCCTTCTGCACTCACTCGCAGCTGGGCCATCCTGGACTTGAACCAGAGACCTCGCCCGTGAAGTAAATCATCGCACCTACGGTGAGATACACACGAAAGACATGCAGGATCATCATTAGAACCATCATACTTGCCGACCACCGATGAACGGATCGTATTAACCAACCAAAGTTGGCTTCAGTCATTATATATTGAACAGAAGCAAAAGCCTCGGTAACGGTTGGACGATAGTAAAAAGTCATCGCAAACCCGGTAGCTACTTTTACTAAAAAACAAGTAAGTGTAATTCCTCCTAGACAATAAAAAATGTTTACATGAGGAGGAACATATTTACTGGTTATATCATCCGCAATCGCCTGAATCTCGAGACGTTCTTCGAACCCATCATAGACTTTATTGAGATAGGTAAACTGTTAAACCCCCCTAAGAACTGTATATGAGACTTTCATCTCGTACAGCTCAAGCAGACACACCCAAATACTGATTAAATTTGAATAGAAAGTTGCAAACTTCGTAATCCCCTGTTTTCTTTTTTCGGAAGATAGGAAGGGATAAAAATCCAAAAGTTCTTCTTTGTGTTCATAATGCCAAAATATCAAGTCGGCGCATTCGTCTTTCTCTTGATTGTTACTACAGGCCTCTTGAATATTCTCTTTTCCTTTTTTCTTTCATTTGTTATTTTTGTATTTGTATATAATGCGACTTTTTTGCTTTTTTATCATTGATAGGAATTTCTCTTGTTAAGACCCTATGAATCGATTGAACCCCAGATTCATACTAGAACCACGATGATTCAATAAAACCCTAAAGCTAAGCACAATGATTCCTTGAGTAAGAACCATTGGATCATCACTTATTAAATCAATAGGATAGGTATTATTTTATAATTATAACTAATAATACAAAAAAATTTGTCTGTTGGTTAAACAAAAAAGGCATCAAAAGGAGTTTGAACGAAAAAAGATTTCGATTTATACCTTCTTATTCTTTCTTTGAAAAGCAAATTTTTCTGAATCCGATCTCGAGGTCTGAATATTAAATATGAATCATAGTTCAAATATTGTTTGATCTATTTTAGCTATTCCGTATTTCAGATACCAAAAAAAATATCCAACGAGGTATAACCATCTTTATCAGGATAAGATGACAGACTCATTTTCTGTATTATCAATATGATCCATTCTAACAAGTCACACACCAATAGGGGATAAAAATCGGAGTCTTAAAAACGCACTTTGTATTGTTTGTATTGAAAGGCTAGAACTTCCAGGTTCTTTGTCTTTCATTTTTTTGTTTTTGTGGATTTAATTCATTGAAATTCCATCCAGTAAAACGGAAGAATTATAAATTTTCAAAATAATAGAAAGGAATACTGCAAATAAAGCCATCGCAACTCCCATCAAAGGAGTAGTTCCCCACCCAGGAGCTACTTTACCATATTCCGAATTCAAGGGTTTCAAAAGAACCCCTACTACAAATTAGGGTGTTAATTATAAAATGAAGAATTTTGTAAAAAAAAAAAAAAACAAATGAAATTACAGACTGAGATTTGTTTGGTATAAATATAGGAAATAAATTGAAAATGAATCAAATTTAAAGAGAAAGGATTAATGCTAAGAAAAAAAAAAAAAAAAAAAAAAAAAAAAAAAAAAAAAAAAAAAAAAACCTTCCTTTGTTTTCTTGTCACCTCTCATTGTTGCCTATTCTTACTTTTGGGTGTAATAGGGGTAATATTTAAGTCATCAAATAAACCTACTAAAATAACGTGTCGGTCAAATTATAATACGGAGTACATCCTTTAAAAATATATAGACAAGCAGACATTATATATAAAGAAGGCGATTTTATTTAGTATGGACTCTGTATTACTCTAATTGTATGACCAAAATAATTATAAAGATAGTCTTAATAAGATATAATTTTTACAACCGAATGTATTGCAATTAGCGGTTAGTATTCATACATACTTGATATAGATGGAAAAAAATGTGATTAACTATGGATCCGAAACGGGTAAAACATATAAAATAAAACAATAAAAT